CACACCCACAGTCAGAGCCGTGCGTCCTCAGTCAGAGGACAGGCTCCTCATCAGGCGCCGGGCTGACCAGAGAGAGGAGCGTCCTCCGTGCTGGGCCATGAGCACAAGGCTGCACGCTGCTCACGCCACCGAGGAAGTGCAAGCCCAGGGGGCTGAGGATCACACTGTTTCTGTTGCCTGGCGGGTGTGACTCGGTGGTTGAGCATCGACCCATGAACCCGGAGGTCTCTGGTTCTATTCCCGGTCAGGGCACATGAAGGAGGCAGCCGATGGATGATGTTTCTCTCTAATCAATGTTTCTATTTCTCTATCCCTCTCCCTTCCTCTCTCTCTCTCTAAAAATAAATAAATAAATAAATAAATAAATAAATAAATAAATGAAAACATTTTAAAAAAACTGTTTTCATTTTCCATTAACTTCACTAATTCTAGAATAATTTAAAACAGCAAACAGATATATTTATATATAAATACAAGTATTGCTCACTAAACAAGGAAATGTTCACTAAGTCTGGTGTCACACCAAACTTTTCTGATTGGAAGCAGGAAAACATGAGCCATAATAAGAAAAAAAAAAAATCAGTCAATCCTCCTGGCCATGACATTTCACAGATGATGGACTTTGTGGACAAAGACTTTAAAAATTCACATTCCATTTGTTCAGGAGGGTAGATGAGTGACTGAAAATGAATCTTACAAAGTAGGGACCCCAAAAACAAGCAGACAAAAACAACAACAACAACAAAAACCCTCCACCCACCTCCACAGGTAGAAAGGAAAACTACAATGTCTGAGATAAAATTACACTTAATGGGATTGAGAGCATGTGAATCACTACAAAGGAGATTAGTGGACTGAGGACATGGAAAAGAGACTCTAGACAAGAGATAAAACCACTGACAAAACGAGACATTGAAATCTCTAACACAGCATCACTGTGCTGCAGGACAACGTCAAGGAGCCTAACGTGCATGTAATTGCAGGCTTCAAAGCAGAAAGATCTGGGAAAGGTAGAAAAATATTTGAGGAAATACTGGCCAAGAATGTTCTAAACCTGGGATCCAACAGACCCAAGAACATTGACAAGCCCCAAGGACACACACACACACACACACACACACACACAGAACATCAGCACACTCATAATCAAATTCCTTAAAACCAGCACAGATGAGAAATCCTAAGAGCGTCAGGGAGAAGGACACATTCCACAGAGAGGAACGTAGAGACCGGAGCAAGTCTCTCCTTGGGGGGCTACTGTCTTCAGTGTCTCCAAGACAGGTGTGTCCACTGTGCTCTCTCCCACCCAATGGAAACTCAGAATCGGGGACGCTGTTGAGTTCACACTGGTTTCCCAGGATGCAATGTCC